AATGAAATGATTAACTTAAAAAAAGTTTGCTCTCAAGAACTTTTTTAATTCGTTTTACAACTCCCTGTTTTCCTTATTTTTCCAGTATTAAACGACTTTTTATAGCATTAATTGTGAAAAGATACGAAACTGATGTTTCCTTCGCAAATAAATATGGCGTCTAATAACTATAACTATCGTCTTGAAAGTTTAAATCTCTACCAACATTGATTTTATTTGATCTGAAAAACCCTTTAACCGTGTGGTTTAGTCACAAACTCTTTATGTACATGAATCTTTACATTTGATCTCTCCTTGCTTTTTTTTGCATATTTTCAAGTTTAGACATCTGTTCATCAGTATGTTACATAGCAGGTTTTTTAAATTGATGTTTTTATGACACAACTTGCAACATGGTTTGAGATCTGTTGGATAGGCCAGTGGCAAAACCTGAAGAGCAAGATACCCTATCATTAAACAATCTCCTTTGGTTACAAATTCAACCATAAACTTAGTTGAATCTATTTCTATCTAAATAACGCCTGAAATAGACCAAATTACCATGGCTTTGTCATTAAATGTTTTCCAAAAAATCTGACAAATTTCGCCACCAAATATTCTGTAACATTTTATCATTTTTTTCTTAACCAAAGACAAAGCCGAGTGTAATAGCTTGGCATTTCCTGGTTTTTTCAACATTGTTTGAAAAAATTTTATCTAAATCTCTGCTGAATCTAATAACAGCCAAGATATGACGAGGTTTTGTCTGAAGTTACAACCTGTATGAAGCTTTAAAGGAATAAAAATGATCTCAGAGGTATCTAAGTACACCCTTTCTTACCCAATATACCAATACGACTTACGGCCTCGTTTTGGAAATTTCTCCAAATTTAATTATGTGACTTTTTTAAGCCCAGATTTGGTTTTATCACCAAAATTTTAGACCGGAAACAATTCATACTATTTGTGCTTGTATTTTAGATTTGACAGAGATTTGAAGTTAGCAATCTTATAAGGGATTTGACCACAAAAATCATTTACCGGTGAAATCAAATCCACCCCCCCCCCCCTCTAGTCGCCAATTACGGTCAAAGATCTTATAATTTTTTATCTTTATGTCGTCATAAAATCAATATCGTGAGCAATACCATAATGGAAACTTCCATGTAGATTAAAATCATTGCTCTCAATCCGAATCTGAGGTCAAAAGGTTTGTATAAAAGAATTCGAAGAATTTTTCAAAATGAGGTCGTAAGTCGAAAAAATTTTTCTTTTCTGAGAGGAATGCGCACCCTCTTTCAAATCGAAATGCCAGTCTCTTTCAAATCGAAATGCCAGTCTCGTTGATTCTAAGATATGTTGATGCTCTATTTGAGATCGTTAAGGATTTATTGATTGCAAGGAACTACTAAAAAACAAGCTTAAAAACTACGAAAATTGAAATTATTTTTGATAACGACAAGAACTTTTTCAAAAACATGCTCATGACCTTTGATATTACTATTAATGAATAGTTCCTTTATTACTGAATGAGATCATTTTATCAAATACAGCAAACATTAAAAACTCTAAAAAAAAATGTTTCTTGGAAATCTGTTTCGTCCTCATGGCCGCAGGACATCACAGCTCTTTTCAAGTGAATATCATTAATGTTAGTAAACATTTAGTTCTAATAACTGAAAATGGCCTTTTTGATATGCTAAGATGTCTTATATCACAATGTCGTTGACTTGTATGCTGAGCCCAATGACTTTCTCACAATACAAGCTACCTTTTGTATCTCCATCCTCTTGATCCTTCAGCAAATTTGCTACCACGTATTATCTTGTTACTTTGTACAGTGCTCTTCTCTCTTAAGAACGGCTGCCCTCGTATCAATCTCGGAGCCAGAGTAATGAGCCAGTCCACAACTGGATTATTTTGCGGAGTTCTGATGACCAATTGGAAGGATATCATTTGAGCATTAGACAATAGCTTCATCCCCCCAAGATAATCCTGACTCAGCCCGAGGGTAGACTGTAAGCACCAGACCGAACTTCTGCAACCACAGCTTTTCACTGTTCCACAAAACAACAGCCATACTTCCTTTATATAATCACAAAGGTACCCTCTTCCTGATCGTTTGGTTAAGACAAATTCGTCGCTCATTAGGCCTTAGGGATCGGGACAACTTGTTTTATCCAGGATTATTTGGCGAGTGTATCCGATGACCTGGAGGTTTTTCTATCACGTGAAGGAGCTAAATTGCCATCGCGATGTTTCAGCGCAGCCCCAAAAAGGCTGCAAAAAGCAATATAGAATATTTATTGTGCTTGACCGAAAAGCAGTTTATTTGTTTATGATGAAAATGCTTTGATTCCCATGGTTTCTCGATTTAAGTATCAAGGATAGTTTGAAAGTGCAGTTGATGCAATTGAGTTCGATATCGCAGCTGGATCCTTGATACTGAATCAAAAGCGAGCAGGTTTTTTAGCAAACCATGTGATCCAAAGATGTAAGAATATTTTACAAATATATATGAATTAACAATGTTCTGCTATCCACACAAAAGCAATTCCCGGCATCAATTGATTATGATACATTTACGTTCATTCAAATCGCAATATTTGAGCAAAACTTTAAACGTTAAATTGTCGTTTCTCAAAGATCACGTGACTTTTTAAGAAGTTTCAAATGAGGATATCTTCTAGGGTGCAGTGGATTTTTTCGTTCTTCCTACTTAATTACATTATTTCTTGAGAAATCGTCAAGAAACTTTTTCTTGTCGCGACTTCTATCCTTCTATAAAACAGAGCTATCTTTAAATTAACTTTCACGATGAGTGATACATCTTAATTTGCTGACCTTTTTGTTTTGGCAAATTTTGTGGAGGGGGAACCTGCCACATATTATCGAAACGCAATTTAACATCAACTGAGAAATGACCTCATGTTGGTTGACACATTCTTGGCTCAAGTCAGTTTTGCAGTCAAGAATCCCAGTTTATGAAACATTCCTTGAGCAAGCCACAATCCTAACATTGATCTGTGGATGTTTTCCTCGTAATTTTATGTGTTTTGCGGACACTTTGAGAATTTCTGCCCTCAGTAGCCGATACTAAACGTTAGAAAAAATGACAGTTTCATTCATATTCACTTTGTTGTTTGTGTTAATGAATGGCTCACGAGGTTGAAAAACATCATTACTAACAGCTGTTTCTGTCTTTGATCCCGATGAAGTCTAATATAATTGTATTTTAAATGATGTAAATTGATATGATTAAACAAACAGTGTTCGTCGGAAAATTCAGTACATAGGGTGTGGCGGTTGACTTAGAGATAGCCAGCCTTATGCAAATCGACGTCCAAATATTTTTGACCTGGTCTGGGTTTGGCTGCCAACATTTAATCAAGCCTCGGGCTTGCGTTGACATAGGCTTTGCTGTGGAAACTGAATTGGAAACTTAAAGGAATTTGATTTCTAAAAGCAACTATTATAGTGTTTCTTGAAAAGCTGGTGCCTATTTTAATTTCACGATTTTTTGATTTTTTCTTTTGACTTTTTAAAATTCTTAAATATCTATATTTATTTATATATACATTATATTCAAATATTATAGTAATTATCATATTGCTGTCTAGAGTGCTCAACTTATCGGAGCGATTAGATAGACTAAAATAAAAAGACTATTGTGACACAACTCTGAGTTTCATGTGTAAACAATCATCAGGTGTATAAAAGAAATATATAGAAATATATCGTATAAAGAAATATATTTATATATATGTTCCCTAACTTAAAGTTTTCGATTTATTTTCTGACATTTTATACTCTAAAGAGACGAAAAACTTAAAATGCTTGATTTTTCCAAAGCCATTTTTTATTATAATCCTCCTGACTAGACGTATTTTAACATAATATGCTGAAATTATTATGCAACAATAGGAGCAATATTTTGAAGAAACGAGTAAAACATCGGTCCAAGACTAAGTTTAGCAACAAAAACGTATACGTCGTTGGAATCCTGGCGTTTGAGAGAAGAATGTTTTTTTAATAAATATGTTATATTATATGAAATATTTCCCTATTATAAGATCGATAGATAAGTTTCTTAGCTGATTATGATTTCAAGAACATACAAACCTTTTAGCTAAACAGAGTATTTGTATTTTCATTTATGTTTGGTTGGTTGCGAAACTTAGAAAAGTTCTTGTAGAGTTCAGCTCCTTTAATGGAACGAAAGCCTAAAGACGAAAAACTGAAAAACTAATATTTCCAGGCCCTAATCAACTAATAATTACTCTTTGCCCATTTTGGTTCTGCTCTGATTTGCTCTGGATGACACGGTATTTCTCAAAATGTTAAACCACACATAAGTTGCGAGGGGTTACGGAAATAGACGCAAGAGAATACGGAGTTTTTACAAGATTCAATTGAGGAGATGTTTCTAGTTAACTATTCAATTCAATTCAATTCAAAATATCCTTCAGCAATATTTTTACAATTTTAGAGTTCCACCCACTAACGTAAAGCTACAATTCAAAGTTTACATTAAAGAATATAGGCATGATAAAATCAATAAGTTGTATAGGACACTGAGACGAACAGTATGGTTATCAGTCCCTGTTCTGTGTTTAAATTACTTACTACAATATAGGGATTCGCTCATACAAAAATGTTGCGATATCAATTCAGTTTAACAATTTTATTTAATAAAATGCGCGAAAAAAATTTTATGTTCAGATACCCGCTGGTGAAGAGAAATATATATTGTTCTGCTTTTTTAAGATTTATCCACGAGGGATGTGATTTTTGTACCTTGCATTTGCAACAATGATGCGTGTTTTGTGTTGCTGACTTCTGATCTTCCAATCAAATCCCTTCTTCTTGTCTCAGGCTTTAAACGTGTAAGTGTTGTCCTCACATTTACATTTTTACAATCTTCAGAGAACGTAATTCACAGTTTTCTTCATGTTGAAATGTATTGTCTTATGTTGAAGCAATATTGTTTTATGTTTTATGAATTTTCTTGTTCTTTTTAGGTATTACAGTCCGATGGAGGCAATTTATCTGCGTGCATTAACGCTGCCACATTGGCATTAATCGATGCGGGAATTCCAATGAAGGATTTTGTCAGCGCCTGTACAGCAACGTATGCCAACGAAACGGCACTAGTTGATTTGAACCAACTTGAGGAGATTTCCAATGCGCCAACTTTGACACTTGCAATGCAGCCTAAACTGAACACTGTCACCTTGTTTCAAATGGACTCGAGGCTGCATCTGGATAATCTTGAAAGCATCTTAGAAGCCGCTAAGAAAGGCTGCAAGGACATTTTCACTATTCTTCAAAGAACGATTAAAGATACTTTAGTTCATAATACTGCAAAGTAGGGGCTTTAGCGAATGAACGATCTCTAGATGAAACAGTTTTCTGTGAGGCATATTGTAACGCAAAAAAGTTGAAAAACGGTTGGAATTGAACTGATAAAGAGGACTTCTTGTTTGATTAAGGGGGCACTTATGAAAAATGTCAAAGGATTCTGTGTCTCTCATGTTCTAATCCCAATGCCAAAGTATTACATATTTATATCAAACAATTTCGCTGGTTGGATTGTATTAAGTTGTCTTTTCAATGACTAGTTTTTTGCCTATTTTTATAGTCTACTATGTCCTACTTCTTGCAGCTAGAGTCCGTTTATGCTTTAATGGTTCACCTAAATTTTTGGTACGATGTAAGTTTGTTACAATAAGATGTTCACTCTTTTTTATAACTGATAAAATGAGAAATATCCTTATGCGACTTGTTTCTTGACTTGCGACTTGACTTCGTCCCTTTATGCAACTTGTTTCTCATGAAGACAACTTTTATTTAATAGTTACTTTCGCTGCTTTTCATCTCTGTCTCTAGAGAAATGGTATTTTTCATTTCTTTCTCTTGACAATTGGCTTAATACGTGCAATGTTAGTTTCTTTTTCGCTTCCATTTGAAATTGAACAATAAAGCCGCCACTACAAGAAGTTACCCTTATCCATATTGTGCTTTTGATGCTATCTGTCCGTAGGTCTCATTGCCTGTACTGGCCTAAGCCTACTATGGTAATGGAGGGTAATGAGGCATGTCAGAGACACGCGGTGGGTTTATTGCTTGTCGTGTGCAGAAGGAGTACTTCTTTTCCCACTAGCAAAGCCAACTTATTTTGTTAGTCTTTTTAAGATTTTGTGTTGATGATTTTCTTATCAGCCTCGTATCAGTGTGAAACGATGTAGCCTCGTATCAAACCACGTGAAAACGAAACATTCAGAAAACCACGATTTTACACACACAACTGCAATGCAGACACAAAACACTGGTTTCCTCTTGAAAGGTTACATTGAGCAATTGGTACAGATTAAAAGACCTTGTGTAATAATTTATTAAGATCATGTATGATATTAGTGGCTTTAAGATAAAAGCAAAGCCTTTTTAATTGTTTTGACAGATATCTTTGTGTGTGGTTACGCCGTTTATTCCCTTCACCCACATATAACAAATTAACATCTTTATCAACGAGATTTCTTTCTGACAAACCCTATAGGTTGCAATTCTAATCAGAATTTCCTTACTTTAAAGCCAGACCGAAAAAAGTCGCTTAACTGATATATCGAACAGTATTTATTCATTCAAAGTCTTAGCAGCCATGACAACTAAGTGAATCTAGATTGGATACAGTTTAAGTAAAACCGCTTAATTTTTTCCTTCTTAGTGATTGTTTATTGGGTGAATGTGATTGTCACCATTTTGCAGCTGCTGATTTTTTGACTAGATCAGAAGTATGCTCGCCCTCGCAATTTTGTCTCCGATGGTAACTTCATTATAAAGTGGAATCCGGTTAGAACGAATTCTGCATAGTCCAAGAAAGAGTTCGTAATATCGGGAGTTCGTTATACCGAGTGCTTGTCATACAGGGAGTTCTCCAAAGGGCCATACAGACATTCGTCATAACGGGAGGTACGCAATAAGCAGGGTTCATAACTGCGGCATTCTAATGTATACTTATTGGAGGTGGATTTTTTAAAGGCTTAGCAATATGTCTTTACAAGATCTTCCCCTCGTTCCCAGTCCCTAACTTTTTCTCCGAGTCTAGTATTCTCGGAAGTGTAACTTGTGAATAACATTACGCAATTCAAAGTTCATGTCTAATAGCTGAATGAATGAACTAGTCGATGAAATGTGTCACTAGAGTGGTAGACAAGTAAGTAATTACAAAAATACAAATTATTTTCAGTCACTTTAATTTGCTCTGTGTTCTGGAAGATCCACTGCTTTTTTCAAAGGTAAAATGTTTTATCTTTCGTATAACTATTAGGGTGCTCAAACGATTTTGCCCGAATGTTTAAATTAGTTCTGAAAATTATGAATGGTGCGATCCTAGTTGAAACATACTAGGGAGGTAAAAGCGGCATGGAAAGGAACTGGCCACTCTACCACACAATGCCACTCACAATGCCATGGCTCAGAACGATGCGCCCCTAACAGCGCATTCCTCAACGTTCGATATCGAATACGGTAACATTACCTTTTTTATGGTCCTTTGCTCAAGACTTGAATATTTTGATATACTGTCCACAAATGTAATTTTGTGACACTTTGAAAGCCGTAGCAAATTATTCTTGTTTCTGAGTAGGTTATAAAAATTCTTTTGATTGAAGATATCTTTCATAATAGTTGGGTTAAATTCATTGATTTCAGACATCTCTACCAAATGTAACTGCATGTTGCATCGATGTTACATTAAAGTTTCCGAAAACGTTTAAAGATGAAATTCTTTTAAAGCTTTAGAAATTCTGTTTTTTAACCACTATACGCAATTTAAAAAAACTGCTAAATTATTCTATTTCCTTTCATTTTGTAGCCCTGCTATTGAGGATCTATACTATGTGAAAATAACTGAATTGAAATGAAAGAGAGGTTTTGCAACTTGACTTGATCGATTTTTGACCCCCAATTTGACTTAATCAAAGCTCACTTAAGGAAAGACGGTCCAGTATGCAAAATACTTCGGTCAAAAAATCTAAACAAACTTAAATTTCGGACAACTTAAGTTTCGTTTGTCCGAAAATTTGATCGCCCGAAAATTTATTAAAGATCACTATCAGGTTACAACGGCTGACATATCAGTGAACTTACTGTTAAAAAGTATCAGATGTCATTTATATTTATTGGCCTTTTTTACCAATAGTTTCCAGCGTTAAACTATCATCCTCTAAGCGTGCAGTTTTTGCAACAAGTGGATCCTAAGTTATACTTTGAAAGATTTCATGACAGCGTTTCGTATTTGCCCCAAGTCCTTCTTATCAATGCTAGTTTCGAAAGTTTGTCAAAGTTTAGTAAGCATGTTTTGCATTGTAACCCTTTTTTAATCCACGCAGTTGTGAGGGGTCGAGGTTTTCGCTCACTTGTAGTTTTTTATGCTATTTAAAAACTAGTAGTTTAGAAATTCAGTGTTGCTTATTGTTTCAACAATTCGAAGGCAAGAAAGAAAAGTCTTCTTTGCCAGCTTAAAGTAAATAGCAAGACCAACAAGATTTGCTGCGAGTCAAAACATGTAACTAATGTTAATTGAAAGCTGACTTTCATGGAACGACGGAAAGAAGTGCTTGAAAGGAGACTGATATTGTAGCAATAAAGATTATTTGAATCGCAAAATAAAAATGTCAAAAATTATTTCCTCAATCTACCAAATGCTGAAAATATTGAAGAAACCTCTTGCATAAAAAGGTCTTTAATGCAATCGATACGGTCATATTTTAATTAAACTCTTCTCAGAGAAATTTGTAACATTCTGGAACATATAGTCTGCTAGATTTTTATTTAGAGATTTCATACAAAATACAGAGTATACTTTAACTCCTGTCTGGGATTTCCAATCTTCACAGTCGATTGATGTCTAGCTAACAAAATTTCAAACCAAACGATGTGATAATCCTAGGGGCGCTTTTCGCCATTAGAACGATATTTATCATGTTTGAAAAGATATTTCTTAGATTTTCTTAGCTTGGGATCATTTTCAAATTGAAGCTGGTTGACAGAGGTTCCCACAGAACAAAATATCACCTCAATTTGAGGAGGCCTCTCCGCTCTAAACATCTCTCAAATTCACTATCAATGTCTAATGTTGTTGAGATCAAATTTGTTCTGACGCTAACTTGTATATTGCAGATGGTATTCTTAGGTGCTTAAGGTCGACAGATTGATAGCAAACTGATGCACTTGCTTTGTCCCGTGTCTTTTCTCTTGTCTTGTCCCTTGTCTTGTCTCTTGTCTTGTGTCTGGACTTGTCTCTTGTCCTGTCTCTTGTCTTGTCTCTTGTCTTGTCTCTTGTCTTGTCTCTTGTCTTGTCTCTTGTCTTGACTCTTGTCTTGTGTCTGGCCTTGTCTCTGGCCTTGTCTCTTGTCCTGTCTCTTGTCTTGTCTCTTGTCTTGTCTCTTGTCTTGTCTCTTGTCTTGTCTCTTGTCTTGTCTCTTGTCTTGACACTTGTCTTGTCTCTTGTCTTCTCTCTTGTCTTGTCTCTTGTCTTGTCTCTTGTCTTGTCTCTTGTCTTGTCTCTTGTCTTGACTTGTGTCTTGACTTGTGTCTTGTCAAGTCTTGTGTCTTGTCAAGTCTTGTGTCTTGTCAAGTCTTGTCAAGTCTTGTCCCTTGTCTTGTTCCTTGTCTTGTCCCTTGTCTTGTCCCTTGTCTTGTCCCTTGTCTTCTCTCTTGTCTTGTCTCTTGTTTTGTCTCTTGTCTTGTTCCTAGGACATTCTGTTCTGTAATTGTTGTTAGGATTTGAGGTTTGACATTTTGGCTCTGTTTGCTGCAAAATCCTGCAATGAGTGCCTACTCAGCGCCATTATGGGCATTAAAGCCAAAATCCCGTCTTTGTGGGAGGCTAGGATAGCTTGACTTTTGCAATTATTAATCTACTCGACTAAGTAAACTTCGACAAAGACTGCCGCCCATCAAATGAAAGTATTTCAATTGTCAGTCACAGAACTTAAAAGAGTTGCTCGAATTTCTGTTATTATTGAAAATCCTACGAAATGGCAAATCCTTTGTTGGTTATTGCACCCTTTGAAGATCTTCTGTAACTGTCTACAAATTTACACCAATCCGATTAGGTTGCAAGCTTATCTTGTTATATATTCTTCTGATTTCCAGCAAAAAGAGAACAATTCTCTTTTCTTTTATTAATCCACATTTCTTTGGAATGTTATCATCAAGTTATTGCTTTTGCATTTATTTCGTGGTGAAGTCATTGTCTGTCCCAAAGGTCTTGCATTATCAGTGAGGATCACTGTTTGTTGAAGTCGGCAGAGAGACTGGCCTGGCACATAGCAAGGAAAATCCCAGGTCTTTAAAGTAACAGCGTTATTGTGTTTCAATCTCTTTTGCAATCAATTTATTTGTTGAAACGCTACAAACAACTTCAATTTCAGAACTTAATTCTCGTATCAACTGCCTTTGTTTCGATGCTAACAGTGCTTGTAAAATATATATTGCTTCATTACTCCGAAAAAACGTAATCTTGTTTCAATGTGATGTCATGGTCAGATATAAGCTTCCTTCTTCATACACTTCCTATATACGTTTTGCAGCGTTTTTATGGCGCATGGAATCCACGCATATCATTTAATATTAAGTGGGGGGGGGGGGGGCGAAGCAAAATAATACAAACTCACTTATATCCCTAATCTGATGCTCTCGTTCTGATGCTCTCGAAAAATTGATATTTGATAAGAGTTCTGTCAGCCTACAAGAGACGCATGACATCAGAAGAACGAAATGGTCTGCAAGCCACAGATGAGATAAATTGCACCTTTTCTTTTCTTAAAATCTTTCTGGGTATTTTTTCCTTAAATTACACCCTTTCTTTTCTTAAAATCCACAACTGGGTATATATTTTCCAACGTGTCCTTTCTGACCCTTACTGTGATGTTTTATACTCTGAGGAGTGTCAGACAAAGAAGCTTTTAGTAGTATGTTGTGAAATGTTTGCTTTTTTCAAAGCCATTTTAAAATCTTTCTCGGTAAAACCATCTAAAAACACAC